TTTGAAATTTTCAAACTGTAATGAATCCGGACTGATCGAATCATTTGTACTATCATATAAGTATACATAAAAAACTATTTTTTAATACAATAATGTTAATTAAGCTTAATATGTGATTTATCCCTTTAAAGATCAAAATGTCATATACATAAAATATTTCTTATAAAAATCTTTCTATCTAAAATTATTATTCAAGTTTAGAAGATGGAAAAGTATGGATTGATGCAAATCCGGCAAATTAGGTGCATGTTCAATTATATTGGATAGCAGTTCATGCAGTTTTACCATCGCAATTACCGACGATGTTGCATTATCTGTGTGAAAGAGGACTCTGTTCTCTTTGCCAAATGAGGCTTTTTGGCTTTGGTTTGGTCGTTCAAACGAGCCAATAACGATTCATAATACCGGCACGATTTTGTTTTTACATTTTTCAATCAGCAAAAAAACAACCAATGAAAACTTTGAAGTCTTTGAAATCAAACATATGAAAAAAAAATATGTATTGATTGTTTACTATTTTTTAATCTCAAATGTAATGAATGATACATTGACAAACGCATAAAATTCTATTGTAAAATTTGTAAAACTTTTAATTATTTTTGCAAATAATACTGTTCTCTTGTAATTTAAAATTGTTGGTTTATCTATAGGTTTACCGGAAAAGACATTTATTTTTTTCTTACCTTCCACACAAAGATTACGTGGAGTGTAAAGCAAACATGAAAAGCAACCTTTCCAAGAAAGAACGTTTTCTTTAAAGCTAAGGTAGTTACAAAGCTAATTATCTTTGGCAAAGGAAATAATTAAGTGCGAGTGAGACTAGTATCAAAGGTAATTTGTACAATTAAAAATAATTAGATTTATATCCGATCATTCGTAGAGACCTTTCTTGCTTATAGCTTCATTGTATATTTTCATAAATGTAAAAATTAACTTTCTTTTCTTAAAATATTTATGCTAAAGACGAATTAACACATTTAGTTTTATATCAATATTAATTAATGTTGATTATTTTTCAATTTTATCTTTGAATATTTAGTTAAATAATTACCAATCAATTTATGTAACACTTTCATAATTTGTAACAACTTTAGTTTGGTAGACACGTAAGAAATAATACAGCAATACCTCACTTAGTACGGACTATAGTCCAGTTTGAAAATTTTAAAACAAACTAAATTTTAATTAAGCAAAATAAAAATAATTTCTAAAAAATGAATAGAAAATTATTTTTTTATACATAAATAATCGGATTTACCCTTTATACAGAATCAAGTTTCTTTTTATGCGGTTTATTTTTTGTATGTATTTAGAGCCTCGATTAGTCCGGTTTCAAACAATCCGGGAAATTGACGGAATTAATTACCCGGACTATACGAGGTATTGTTACATTATAATCGTTGTTAAATTTTTAAACAATAGAAATAAAGATTGAAGCATAATTTTCTATTAAATAGTTAATTATTTCGTTGCAAGAAATATCGTCTTTCTGTGTTTTTTTCCTACGTAACATAGATTTTTTTATCAAAAAATTCTATTTATCAGCAAAATATTATTTATATTCATGTAATTCTTACTTTGTATATGCACTATGTTTATTCAATAAATTAAAATAAACATTGCGGTTAGTTCATATATACATGCACCAAATCAACACAAAGCAATCACTATACGTAGTTTATTATAACTAAAATTGCATTAAATCGTAACCAGTCGTGGTGAGTGTGGCAATTTAATGAAAACAAATACGTTTAGAATCAGCGGTTTCCTATTTAAAAAGATAATATTTAAATATTTTCTAAATGAACGAACTGATCGTTAGAACTAATTTTTTGTGGGTGTTTTTATCTCACGACACACTTGAACATATAATTAAACTATGATGATATATTATTACAATTACTGTTTTCACATCCTTTCACCGCACACCGGTTGAAAATCACGAATTTAAAAGATCAATTTAATTTCTACGTTATAGATTTAGCTTTACAGTTGCTTAAGAGTATTGCTAAATATGTGAAGAGTTGAAGTTTCTGAGAAAAAACAACAAATTATGACTGAATTAAAATTGAAATTTTAATATGAATTATTCTTAATGTAAAAGAAAACTACAGTAATATTATGTATAAAAAAATAATTAGTAAATATATTTTGCTCAATTAAAATTTGGTTTGTTTTAGTGAATCCGCACTGATCGAAGCCACAATGTGCGAGGTGATTAAAATAATTTCTTATTATGTGCATTTTTTGGTGGAAAAAGTGTAATTTCATTAAAATAATCATGATTATTAAGTTTTTTTTTATTAAAATAAATAAATAATTGTCAAAAATTATATAATTAAATGCTTAAATGAAACTCCTAAAAGAAACACTGGCAATTAACAAAAAAAAAGCTTTGGAATGTTAACAAAATTATGTAACTATAAATTTGCTGTTTAACAGCATTGTGCGCGAGTTTGTATTAAATATTGAAACAATTACTTTTCATCACCAACCGTTTATTCAATATTGTCATGATATGAAACAATTTACGCGGAATTGTGAATCCGCTGTTTCCACCGAATCGATAATAATTATTATTATTATGTAGGACAGGGCGAGCACATTTCATCCCAGAGTTATTACGTCGGAATGCAAATTACGCTTTCATTGCATTCCCCCACGAGAGAAAGAGAAAAAAAACAACATATACAACAAAAAAATACATACATAAACACATAGCGATTGTTATCTTTTATTTTATATAATTACCAAAAAGCGTGTAATTAATTAGCGCGCAGTACGGCGCCATGGGAAATTTACTTGAAAACTAAATTGCAACGCGCATAACAAAAGATACATATTAAAACCCATTTTCTAGATCAGTTTTATTTTTAAACTTAATAGGTAATACACATAAAACTAGTAAATCAAATTATTTTTTAAGAAAGAGAGAAATTAGTAATTGATGTGAAACATCCGTAAAAACTATATAATTTAAAGAGTCAATTGTTCTAGATCAATTAAGCATACAATTCCTTCTCTGGTAAACTATTTATAGAAAGAATAATTGTTATATGCTATGCTTCCGTTCTTTCTATCATTATTTTATGAATAATATAATATAAATATATAGTTTTCTTTTGCCGGTCGCAATTAATCGAGAAAGTGGTCATTATTGATTTGTCAACGATCATCTAATTGCATTGTGCTTCTCGTTTGTTTGCAGGATGTCCGAAGAGAAGTTATCGGCAGCTTTCTTCGAGAGTTACGATTCTAGGAATGATTCGTTTTCTTCGCTGCGAGGAGCATCGGGCCTCTCATGTAGGCCAGCTTTCAAATTTATTATATAGCATGTAAACACTGCAAGTGGCGATGCGGTCCAAAGTAATGCGCCAATTGCCTTCTTTCAAAGATGAAAGCGAATCATTAAACAATCAATCTCTTTTGAACAAGAAGAGGAGAAGGAGGATGAAGAGAAACCAAACAAAATCTCCCCAAAGCCATCATTATTTATAGTTAGTTTAATTATCGAGCTAAAATTACTATGCATTATATGGGTCATGCGCGTATTCGATATATATAAATAAACTTAACATCCGTACACATCTTATCTTAAGCTTAATTAATTCGACATACAATTGTGTAATAAATTATATGGTTATTAAATAAATATACAGCAACACCTCGTACAGTGCGGGTCGTATTGACGGAACAAATTATCCTGGACTATTTGAAAACGGACTAATCTAGGACTTTAAAACCGTACAACTTGATGTTATGAAATCGAAAAACAATCATTTATGTATACAAAAAAAATGTTTGTAAATTATATTTTCCAAAAATTATTTTTATTTTGCTCAATTAAAATTTGCTTTGTTTTGAAATGTTCAAACCGTACTATTGAATCCGCTCTTATTGCAGCCGCACTATACGAGGTATTACTGTTGTCCTCACGTAACAAATGTTGATTTTCAATGATTCACTCACTCTACATTAAAACATGTTTCAAATTCAGTATTTCATTTAATTTTATTCTAAATTTTGCAGTATCATAAAAAAATAATTAAATATTGATTCTTCATCAAACTCAACAATTAAGTAACTTGAAATATTTGTCCATCATTTAATAAGTAGTACATAACTTCATAATTTAACGAAAGTTTATGAAACATTTCAATATATTAATATGTATTCTACGTTAATCTATGTATTCATATTTATTCTTGAAATCTTACGTAATGATGTGATAAAATAATTCATATATTCCATATTTTATTGTTATATTTTAATTATATAGGAAATGAGATGATGTGCTTAAAATCAGTTAATAAATTTCACTTAAACTTGAATGAAATCAGTCTAATTAGATATATATATATATAAACTCATTTGAATATCAATGTTTACATTTACATGCTAAAACTGCCTCGCGGCTAATTAATTTATTCATAATTATTTAATATTTACGATTTTCTCCAAGAACATTCCTGCATTGGGACACCGAGAAAATTCGCTTCGGAATAAATCAAACGCAAAAAAGAAGTTTTTTTTTGTTAAACGAAATCAGCAGACCTTTAATAACACGTTTCCATAATTGAGTGTAATTAATGGATATTTACTTATGTTCAGACCACAAATTAAAATTAATTACAATTTCATATTTGCTTTATTTATAATTAATGTTTCAAATTAAAAATAACTTGGAACTAAATATTGATATGTAATTTAGATAAATAAAAATAACATATTTGTGATTAATAATAAACAAAATAAACATTGATTAAAACATCAAATATTCATATTAAAATAAATAAAGAACTATAACAAATTGGATTATAGAATTACAATTATTATTAATACAGGAATACCTCACATACTCCGGCTAATCGGATCTGTCAATATCCCGGACTGTTCGAGTAACTAAACACTGCAGTGAATCCAGACTGTTGGAAGCCGGACTATGCGAGGTATTTATGTATAAATAATTGTATTTTTTTTATAAATATATGTTTACTTACAGTGATGACATATGGTATCATAGATACATATCCACTGAATCGAAGTTGTTCAGGCGGTATCAATCTTAAGAATGACAATTAGTTGACCTGTAAATATAAACATTATTATTAGAATTTATTTCATCGAAATCTATTTATTTATATTCAGATTAGATTTAAGAATTATTTTGAATAATGTGAAATATTTAGGGTTAATCTAGCTATAATAATATAAACAAAATTAGTTTAGAGTTATTGACGTTGGATAGTTTAAGAAATTTAAACGTGTGTTGCAGTATTTGGATCTATGATGCTATAATAATAAGTTTTTTTTTAACATCATGTATTCACGAAATAAGTAATTGTCATTAGCCAGTTAATATCAAAACCTTGTAAAAATAGAAATTACTATGTTCTTGAAAAAGGCATAATTAAAGATTTATTTATATATTTGGTTGGACTTTTATGTCAATGAAATGTATACTAACTTAAATATAGGAATGTTGCTATTCAGTTATTGTCATTAAAATACATATCAATTTGGTCGAAGTTCAACTATACACAAATTTGTTGGGACACGCAACAAAATATTAAAAAAAAAACTTTATATAACAAGTATATACATCTTTTAATAAAATTTTCTAAATAAAGAGCAAAATCTTAATTTACATTATTTCATATTTTACATTGTTTTTTTGATATAACACAAATTGTAAGTTATTCTTAAAGTAATAGTAATTTGCAGAGTCGAACCGGAACCGAACTGAAAACCGTAAACCGAAATTATACCAAAATTTGACAAAATTTTAACAGGAACTGAACCGAAATTTTTAGACAAACCAAAACCGAATCTGAAATGATAAACAATTACATGGAACGTAACCGTAAACCGGAACAAAATTAATTTCGGTTCGATTCTCTTGTATATGTCTTGTAAAAATGGTCCAGTGTTTTCACCAACTGGAATCCATGCATAAAAATACCTAATATATTAAGAAATTAATGGATCATGTTGTCACACGAATTATTTTCGTAAGCCAAAACCTTTTGTCGTCACACATTACGCAATCTTATTTTATTATTCTGTACAAATTAAGCTTTTGAGGTGGAATGGTGATTAACGAGTGTGAATTTAATGCAGAAAAGAAAACAATCAGTTATGCTTCTTTTTTTTTGGGCGGACGAGAAATGCGGTGACAGCAGTAGGTGCAAGTTTTTTCAGCTGTCAGCTTGGAGTGAATTAAGTGGTTCACTAATTTCGGCCTCAGATGTTTATCTGAAAAGATAAAACCGTTTTCCATTAAGTCGTCTTTTAAAATTGCCGACCTATTAATAAAAGACACCCTTTTTTATCCCTTTTGGGTGCAAGAAACAAAATAACAACAAGAGATGAAATCTCATCAAATTGCTGCTACATAGTCTGCAGAATCGATAGAACCAAGTTTCTATTCACAGAAAAAAGAATATGATGAGAAACACATTTAATGAATAGGAAAGTCTTCAGCTTTGAATAGAAATATTTCATTTAATTTTATAACATTGAAATTTATTATTATGTAATACAGAAAAAATAATAATAATAGAAATGAATAGTCTAAGAACAAAAACTGACGATTAAATTGATAAATAATTATTTAATAACGTTAATTCAACAAACAGTTATATGTGAAATGTAAAAAAGTATTTTATGCGGATCTTATTGATCATAAAGTATATAGCTATGACAATATTGCAGATGAAAACTACCTTTCTGTCGAAGCAGGAAGAAATAAAGTTGATTATTGCACAACCTGTGTGAGTGTATACTGGGATTGTGTGACTCATCCACGTCTAATGAATAACGAATATACCGTTCAAAGAACACGCTTTTTCCGATCATTACCCTTATCAATTTGTTCCTCATAATCCATTCTATACGGCCAATTCAATCTATTTTACAAATTACAAACGTGAGAATTTGCTCTTCAATCAATAAAAAAAGAATATTATATAATTGTAAACTAAAACAAAAATAAGATATAAATTAATTTATATTGATGCAATCATTGCTTTTGCTAAAATTATTAAAATATTTGTTATTTTGACTCGTAATAGTTATTAATAATATTGACGTAATTATCATTCGATTATAATATATAATAGCTGCTGACTCGAATTATTATTTTTGCGATGCACTCACATCTAATTTTAGGACGTTGTTGATTTTATTGACTGCTCTACATTCGTTTGATAATCAATCGATACTGACGCATTTTGCAATTGATTTGAATTGAATCGAAGAAAGTGGTCAAAATCGAAATATCATCGTCTCGTAAATCTAATTAAACGTAACGGAAATCGCACAGCGTCTTTTTGTCGACGGATTACACGCTTCGGGGATTTTGGGAAAACGCACATCATCGAACCCATCCATGGAGTATTTTATTCAATTTAAGAAAGCGTTACCAAAGATGCCGACCATTAAAAATACATTAATGTTAAGTTCAGGTATTTTTCGATTAGTCAAGTCACCATTGCAATATTTTTTTTAATATCATTATTATTACATTCATAAGTATTTATTAATATAATGAAGAGATTGACTATTGTGTTATAAAATAATTAAATTTTTGTATAAGCATCAATATCCAAGTCAATATTCAAGTATAAACAGTCATACCTCGGTTAACGCAGCTTCGATATTAGAAGTCAACAATTTTAAGCAATGTGAATTAAAATCTAAGAAATTATAATTAAGGATTTCAAAATTTATTATAAAACATTCTTAGCAACTAAAACAAAAAAATAAAGAAAAAATTAAAGAGTTGTGCCAAACAAAACCACCTTACAATATTGAAATATTAGAGCTGTGTAATGTACAAAAATTATTAATTGTAAATTATATTTTAAAGAGCTGTAATATTTAACATCTTCAATTGCTTTACAAGAGAGATTAATTTACACAAATTGAATATTGTCAAATAAAACATTCGTTTATTAAACATTTCCTGTTCTTTGCTCGGTAAATGTTTGATGTAACAAATATCACAATGGGCTTTGAAAGAAGTTTTACATCCATCAAAATCATCGATTCCTATTAGTCTCATTGGACACGCCATACACAAACATCGCGCCGCAAACGAGAGAATTGATTGAAATTAACACACAAGTCTAATTGATGATAACGTCGAACAATGTCCACATGTAATAAATTTGGTCATATTCTCAAAGAACATTTTGTAATTAACCATTATCTAATATAATAAATTAGTTATTATTTTCTTGTAATTTTACATAAATGACATATTTCTCATAATAATCAATTAATGCTAAATAATTCAAAGTGCTGCAGATTTAATCTTAGTATTATGGCGAAGGGTTATGTAATCGCTGATATTTAATTTCAACCCGAACTCCACATCTTCATGTAATAGTCACAACCCTCAAGAACCCTTGGGAGCACCCCTTCTACACTTTCAAGAAGCCGCAAATATTTATATGGAAACGTAAAGTTTATAAGCCACGTTAAATTATGAAGTGCAATATGACAAAATTTGTTAAATTAATGTTTAAGCTCATTACACAGTTTTTTTTTACAATATTTTCATAAATATTGCTTAAAATTCCTAAAAACTCAAATAATGATGCAAGAATTAATTAACATATTTAAGGTAAATTCAATATTTTACGACAAGTATAATAACACAAGACGTCTTCTCTCTGGAAGTTCAAAATCACCTGAAAGTTGAATCTTACAAAAAATGAATACAGTTACAATTAATTTTATACTAAGATTATTATAATGATAGTTAACTTTTTATATATACATTTATTATATAAGATATTTGTGTAATAACTGTATATATTATTATGATATAAAAACCGTCATTTTATAATTTATGTTCTCTAGTTTGTTGTGTATGTTTTTACAAGATTTACACAATGATGAAATTCCTTGTTGAGACGAGATTTATATTTATAGATACTTATTTTTACGTTTTTTTAGGCTATTTACTTTTACGTATTCTAAAGTCTGTAAAGCTAACGATTTTTTGTGATTTGGAACGCTCATCAATCTCCGTTTTTATCAGAGAAAGTAATATCTGAACATGCATGCGTTAACAACATATCATATTCATATTAATTTTCTTCATCCATTCGATGCGTAGGGTCAACATATTATTAATCTATTCGGTCAGATACATGTAACAAACTAATCGCAATAATTCGAAAAAGCGAATAAACTAATGTAGACAAAACTGATAATATAAACTTTCCTAGCATACAGATTTATTTATTGTATTGTTGAATGGATCTGTAAACACGATATTATTGAATAATTGCATCAGTCTTGTACAAACGGTTTATAAATATAACTGATTGAACATAAAATAAATACACAATAGTAAATTATATAAAAAATACTACAATAAATAGAGACAGAAATATAGTTTATCTTATCAATTCAACATATGTATTAATATTACAATAATTAAATTTAGGATATTTTTAGTTCCTATTTGAAAGCGGACTAATCAAGTACTTTAAAACCGTGTAAAACGAGATTTCACTTTTTACATAGGAAAACATGATTATTTATGTATCAACAATAATCTTGTGTGCTATTTTTTTTTTAATTTATTGATTCTTTTTATTGTGAATCCGCACTAATCGAAACGGAACTATGCGAGGTATTTCTGTACTTATTTATTTGCAGAAATGGATTACCATAATTTGGTAATTAGAACAAGATTTTATTGCAGTTATTCAATTATCGTTAGACATATTTTATTCTGCAGAAAAGAAGATGAAAACACACTTTATTTGCTAAAATTACGTCGAGTTATTCAAGTTATTTAATATCATCCAGAGGCAAATGCAATTTGTGCCAATCCGCATATCTGTCTAGTAGATAATTGGGAGATGTCTCTCTCAACCGCGGAAGATCCTTGGCGACGATCCTCTCTCCTCCACAAGCTCAATTCGGTTCAAACACTTTGCTCGTTTAATTTATTGATTAATAATAGTGTTCCATCCTCGAGCCAAGTGGACGGATATCTCTCACTTTTCCAGCACAAACTGATCAAACACTTGTTCATCCCAGACAATAATATTTACAAAACCGTCTC